ACCACCCCTCTCCTGCCCCGATCCCGAACGCATCACCGCCTTCCAGGTGGCCAAAAAACCTGTGATCGGCCATTCATAGATTTCAACCCCGGTGATTGGCCCGTCACGTTTAGGTGACTAGTGCCGCTCACGTTGCACTGCTTGCACAGAAGCGGGGTGTGTCGTTCACGAGCGTATCGAGTATGGTGGATGAGCTGAAGCGTCTGCAGGGCAAGATGGAGAAGGCAAACATGAGAGAAGGTGTTACATGCRCAGATATGCAATGTACGTAATAAACCGAGAATCTGCAATGTGATGAAAAGGACTGAATAGACAATGCGGTACGAGTAGAATCTCGACAAGCAATGTGCATGCTCATTCATACATAAAGATGCTAAAGAGCGCAGGGACGACTTTGATACAAAGATTTCCTTGACAGGATGGACCGCATTCACGTAGTTCAGAGTAACGAAACAGAATGCTAGAGCACCTCTAACTAGCCCAATCAATGTTTGAACTCAGACTAAACATGCATTGTATCCATCACTCAGTGTGAAGGAGCCTGGCACTGTAACACAGGAAGTAATCGCTAGGTCCAGACATACACTCATTACCGCACGTGGCATTTATTTCAGCTGTGGAATGGCCCGATAATTCTTACAAAGAAAAATTACAAGTGCTAGTTGACAGAAGCAAGTACTTATCTAATACTGATGTATTAATTTTAGGTAAGAAGGGGATGAGGTGATTAGTACAATGGAGGTTAAGTGAGAAACAATAGGTAGGCGGTTTAGAATGCTATTGACGCAAAGAGAGTTTGCGAAGCTCTTTGAGACGATTTTGAATGAGGATGAATGGGTCAGCATGATGCCCTTATGTTTTGGAAGAACATTAGTTTTTCCCAAACTCCATTTTGATTCCCACGTTGTCAGAAGGTGGAGTTTGAAGTCCGATGTTCTTTTCCTTTTGCTTAATGGCCATCAATCAAGGGTTTCATCCCCCGTACGTATACTACAGGACAACAAAACAATGTATCACCCACATGACGATCAATGGGGCATGGAACCAGCCCTTGTATCCCGTTAACCACTTGTTGAATGTCAGCAGACGTTAGTGGGGTAGAAGTGAGATTGGTTGAAGAGGAGCAGCTTGAGGAATCGATGTTACAGAGGATTTGGACAGGATGACTGCAAAAAAAAGGGTTTATAGAAGAAATTGTTTCTTGAGATGAGAATTGTTAATGACGCAGTTAGGACATACAATGTTCTTAGCAGCGGGAAGAAATGGAGAGTTGCCAGTGTGAAATGTGACATGATTTTCAGGAAAAATCTGCAAAAGATTTGAGCAAATGCATATGGCCTCATTTGATTGAGAAGTGATCCTGAAATTG